CCGACTTCTGCGAGGGCACCTTGCCCTACTCCTACAACCTGTGCGTGGCGGCGCCGGCCCGCGCCGTGCCCGAGGCCGCTTGGCCGCCGCCGCCGGTGCCCGTCCTGTCGGCGGAGGAGCTTCTGGGCGGCGATTCCTGCGAGAAGCCGAGCCTGAACAGCAACGCCCTCACGGGAGAGCCTCCCGCCAATCCCGATGCACCGCAGGTGTGTTATGCTGCGCGCTTGTTCTCTTATTGAGGCTTTCGTATCATCTTCCTTTCCCCCTCGTTTTCTCGGCATGTTGTCCATGAGAAATCCTCATTAGCGTCCCCATCTAGCCGCGGAAAGTTGTGCTCTTTCCTTGGTATCGGCTTTTGTTTTTTCCGAGGTGTTTTGACTATAACTCTATTTTTAACTTGAAGCAGTGTTCTCCTTTTTTCTGGGGTTATATTGTTGTAGCAGGCACACAGCTGTCTACATGAATTACGGAAATTAATTAAGAAAATGAATTAAGGAAAGGTCTATCCCGCTTCCATGGAAAGCAGGGTAGCAGTAGCACCTGCTTCTTTCTTGGTAACAAAGTGAAATTCAGTGAAAGGCGTTTTGTCTTCAAAACTCATGCTCTTTAAATTAAAATGCATTTCCAGGATTGAACTTGGTTTCTTACCGTTTAGGAGACCCGCTGATTCTACGTGATGGAATTGGAGAGAAAGAAAATCCAGAGAGAAATTATGTTGTAGATATTTTTCTGATTTTATTCAGAAAGAGTGAATTTGAAACTTGTCCATAGCTTTACACAAATATGTTTATGAATGGTAGAGTTTTCTCTTTTGTTTGATGGGGGGTTTTTGCCTGTTGGAATCACAAAGGAAAGGTGTGTAGCGTGTTATGTTCTTCATCCTGACTGAAAGAAAACAATGTCCCAGGATTTGGGGACGGGAGGATAATGCAATTGTGGGTCGGCTTCCTTTTTATATCCTGGCTGGCAGTTCTCTGGTTTAGTCTTCATGATATTTATTTACAGAGGTGAAGGTAAAAAAATGTTTGTTTCAGATATTTTTTCATTTTCCTTTAGTCTTTACCCTAAGAAGTTGATATTTATGAAGATGTCGGGGCTTTGGAGAACAGTAGTTTTTTAAACTTCTGGCTTTTACAAGGATAGATATCTGAGAGTATCAAGTATCAAGGAAATTAGCCAAATAACAGATCAGGCACTTGAATCAAACTCATTTGTACATTTTTAATGGGTCAGCAGAGTTTCAATTAGGCAGCTATATTTTTCTTCTACCGTTCTACAAACTTTCCTTGGTAATGTTGTACCATTCTGATTAAAAACTCATTTTCCTGATATACTGTTTTAATACACTTCAATGCTTTGCAGGTTGATTCTTGATAAATTCTTTTTCTTGTGGCTATACAATTACTTGATGCGGTGTAAATAGTAAGGAAACACTAAATTTAACAGACGATCTTGATTCCGTCAAGTTTTCCTTTGAGAATATTAGCTAAATCTTTATTTCTACCTGTAATAATCGTATGACAATTAGGTCCCTGACTTCAAGAAGCGCGCAATTGTTCTCGTCCCGCTTATGTTAATGAGCCTGATAGCTCAGGCTATCGGTGTGTGTGGGCGTGTATCTAATGTTTTCAATCTCAGACACCGTTGCTGAAGAGGTTTTTGAACAAAGAGGGTAAAACTAATGGTAATCTAGAGCTTGAAATGGGGAAAAATATGCTTTAATATAAATAAATTGCCGTTAGTAAGTTATTAGTACCTCCTGCGACTGAAACAGCATGCCCACGGAATTCCTCGACATTCCTCCCGATGGTGATGCCCTGAAAGACCAAAGCAGAGATCGGCTGGAGAAAAGGCGGTGCAGCAGGTCACCGCTGCACGGGAAAATTGTCTCCGTGGCAAATATCCATTCCCCGCGAGCTGCCCGTGGGCAGAGCGGCAGCGCTCGGCGGCGCTCGGTGCCTGCAGTGCCGGGAGGAGGCTGCGGGCGCCGCTGCTGACCGAGAGGAGCGAGAGGAGCTCGGAGCGCCGCAGCCCCGCCCGCTGCGGATCCGCTCGCTCGGCCGCTCGCTCCCTGTCCGAACCTGCGGTCTGCGATCATCTCCGCGGTGCTGGCCCACTCTGCAGCCAGGCGGAGGGACCGGCAGCTGTGCACGGTGCAGAAGCTGAGAGAATTGAGTGGCAGCGGGATTGGATCGGCGCTGTTACGGTACTGGCAGTGCCGCTCTGGAGATGTGCGCGGCGGGGAGGCGCTGGGGCCGGCGGCAGCGAGCTCTGCTCTGGGCCGTGCTGCTGGCAGCGTGGGAGGCGGCGTGGGGGCAGCTGCGCTACTCCGTGCCCGAGGAGATGCCCAAGGGCTCGTTCGTGGGCGACGTGGCCAGGGACCTGGGGCTGCAGCTGCCGGAGATCAGGGCCCGGGGCGTTCATATCTTGGACAAAGGTAGGACGCAGTATTTTGCTCTGCACGGGAAGACGGGACATTTAGTGACGGCGGAGAGGATCGACAGAGAGCAGCTGTGTGAGCGTGTGCAGCAATGCGTGCTGCGCTGTGAGCTGATAGTGGAGGGACAGATGCAGGTTTACGGAATACAAGTGGAAATCACGGATATTAACGACAACGCGCCGAGCTTTCGAGAGGCAGAGACAGCGGTGAAAATGATTGAAACGACAGTCCCGGGAGCGAGGTTTCCCTTACCAGACGCTCATGATCTGGACTTGGGCTCGAATTCCCTGCAGAGCTACGAGCTGAGCGGTGACGAGCACTTCTCGCTGGCCGTGCAGGCGGGCCCCGGCGGCGATCAGCGTCCCGAGCTGGTGCTGGCGAAGGCGCTGGACCGGGAGGAGGCGGCGTTTCACGAGCTGGTGCTGAGGGCGATGGACGGCGGCGATCCGGCACGGACGGGCACGGCTCGGATCCGCGTGACGGTGCTGGACGCGAACGACAACGCGCCCGTGTTCAGCCAGGCAGAGTACACGGTGCGTGTGCCCGAGGACGTGCCCGTGGGCTCTGTCCTCGTCACTGTCACGGCCACAGACGCCGACGAAGGTTTAAACGGCCATATGCAATACTCCTTTAAGAAAATCACAGAGAAAGCCTCGCAGATTTTTCAGCTGGACCTCGACACGGGAGCGATTGCATTGACACGTAACTTAGACTTCGAGGATGTAAAATCCTATGAACTGGACATACAGGTTCGAGATGGCGGGGATCTTTCCGACATAGCAAAAGTCATGATCACTGTAACAGACGTCAACGACAACGCACCCGATCTCACAGTGTCGTCAGTATTGAGTGAGATCTCTGAGGATGCCCCGCCCGGAACCGTGGTAGCATTGCTGCATGTGCAGGACCGGGATTCGGGGGAGAATGGCGAGGTGCGCTGCTCTCTCGACGAGAACGTTCCCTTCCACCTAGAAAATGCCTATGAAGACTACTACAGCGTGGTGACAGCGAGA